TGCAGACCTGACGTCAGCTAAATACAGCGCTCTTGCGCCAACCTGAAATCTTTCAAATTTCACAAGCTGTATATATATATATTATATATATATATATATATATATATATATATATATATATATATATATATATATATATATATATATATATATATATATATATATATATATATATATATATATATATTTATTTTAATTCACCTCCTCAAGGCCGAGAAGGCCACTACAGACGAGGAGGCTACTTTATATATATATATATATATATATATATATATATATATATATATATATATATATACATATATATATATATATATATATATATATATATATATATATATATATATATATATATATATATATATATATATATATATATAATATTATATATATTTATACAGGCCTCAGCGGGAGTAAATGAGCACGAGAGCGGAGAAAAACTCTTTTCTAAAGTGAGCCATGCAAGCTTCTCTAAGCAGCTAAACAAGAACTTTTGGTTTTTGCATGAGCTATCTGTTTATTCATTTAAAATATTGCTTATTAAATACAAAGTTTATTTTTATAGAAAAAATGAGGGTAAAATGAAACAGCAGGTAGAATGAAATAGTTATGACAATGTTTTGCTCTTAATTATTTGATAATCTTTTTGCAAATATATTTAAATCATGTTGTAGAGAATACTTTTGTAAATAAGTTGATATCAAATTTTATTTTTTGATGAAAAAAAATTTGTTATAAAATTTTAAGTTTTATTATGCGCAATGAGATTTTTTTTATTATTATGGAAAATGAGCTTAAAACTCTCGGACATTAAATTGATATCATTGAACCTAAAGAGTTTTCTGATATAACATTTTATGCTGATCAAGAATCTATTTTCAAAATTAAATTTTCTATTTAGGAAAAGAGTTATGAATAAAAAATGGAAAAGGAGAATTGTGGGGTTGAATAAAATACGCTAATAACAAGTGAAGCAATAATAAGTGAAGCTCACTTCTTAAGTGCGGCTTTTTTTTAATAAAATCTCAAGTAACCAATAAATCTCTAACTAAAAATTTTTTTTATTTAAAAAATTTTTCCAATTAAATTTTTCTGAATTTAAATAAATAACTTTTACTGACTGCTTTTTATTTAATGACTCTAATGAATAATATGAAATGGTACCCATGTGAAAATTTAAATTGCAAGGTTTGGCTATGTCAAACATGCATACCAAAGTGATATATAAGTGAGTTTTATTGCACCAAAAAGTGCTGCACAACTTAACTCAACCTCTAAACAACTTAACATCATCACAAGAATAAAAAAGTTTATTTTTTTTAATTGTTATTATCAATTGCTTTTTTTTTTTTTTAATAAAGTGTTGTGTTAATAACACATATATTTGCGTATTTCATTCTCCCCGAATGTCATTGTAGAATGGAATAATTTTTTTTTAAATTAAAATAAGTTTTATAAAAAACTTTTAAAAAAGTGTATATAAGTTCTATAAATGTTTTTACTTTTTATGAAAAATGTTTTTTATTTTATTGTAATAGAATGCAGGCATTTTAAGAATAATTACAACAATTTAAAATACCACAATAAAAGTAAAGAATTATTAAGGTGATTAATATATAAAATATATAATTAATTACATAAAATAATAATTATCATGCAATAGTTTAGAAAGTATTCAATCATCAAGTGAAATATATCAGGTATTTCACCTGATGATTGCAACAGCATGAAACTTAAAGTTGTGAAAATCACGTAGTTTTATTTTCTACTATATATTATATTATAGCTCTGACTTAGTTTATCGAGCACTTTTTTGATAGTATATGCGCAAAATAGCATCACTACATATATATATATATATATATATATATATATATATATATATATATATATATATATATATATATATATATATATATATATATATATATATATATATATATATATATATATATATATATATATATATATATATTATCTTAAATTAGGACTCATCAGAAATGACTTAATAATAAGACACCATATAAAATAATAGAAAAAAATTGATTAGTGATTTTGTACTCATTTTTGTATATATATATATATATATATATATATATATATATATATATATATATATATATATATATATATATATATAGGCCTTGTTTTAAATAAAAAAGTGCTTAATGCATTAGCTTAACGCGATTTTGACGTCATAAAATTATCTTTATTTTTTTTTATAGACGTTAAGTGTTTTAACTACCGCAATAAATAAATAACCGCAAACTAGTTTAATTTAACAATTAACTCAAATATAAACTATAAACGTTTTAAATATAAATTTATTATGAAAATTTTGTAATGTTTTCAATTGTTATTTTATTATTAATTTTAGTTCAATATTATTTAGTAATATATATATATATATATATATATATATATATATATATATATATATATATATATATATATATATATATATATATATATAAATTATTTCTGAAATTTGTTTTTGAATAATTGTTTTTAATCGTTATTGAATAAAAAATAATAATGATTTTTTTTTATTTTTTAAAATTTCTAGAGTAAACAAAAAATATTAACATTGATAAACGAAAACCCATGTTAATTATTTAAACAACGATTTTGTTTTGACTAGCAAAGAAAAATTTAAGTTTTTAAATATTTTAAAAATTTTTTAAAGCGTTTCAAACTTGCGTTTTATAAAAATATAAAAAAGTTTGGCCTGCTTTGTGCATATTTTTGATACGTAGTTTAGAACGCGTTTGCTTGGAATTTAATTCATAAAGTTTTTATGTTATTGTAAAAATATTTAACTTTTTAAACAAATCACAAAGAAACAGAGCTATAGAGAAAAATCGTTTTCAACGATTAAATCTTTTTTTTTTTTAATTTTAGGAAATTTAAAAAAAAATTAAATTAAATATAAAAGTCTTAACTATGCAAACTCTTTTGTTAATTATTCTTAAAACAAAAAAACAAATACTTCTACGCCAAACTTTAATCGTGCAAACTTAAAAAAATACTCAACTGAAATAATTTAAGTATATTTAATAATTTGAATCGTATCTGTTTATAATAAACGTTCGTAAAAATTTGTTTATTAAAAATTAAGTTCCTTAACTTATAAACAAACTCAAAAGTATTTTCATTCTACGTATAATTACAAAACTCTTTTTTTTTTTTTCGTTTATAAGCAATTTAACTTAATAAAATAAAAAAAAGAATAAATATGAGGTAATCTTTGTTGAGAATAAATTTAATTTATTTATTGAACTATATTTTTATTATTAATTATATATCAACTTAATTAAAATATAGTAACATGTTAAAATATTTTAACATGACTTGTATTATTTATAAACCGTAGGGCAGCTGCCCTTACGGCACAATTGTTTTAGGATTATATTTTATTTTGATGAAGATCACATAACTTACATTTGATATTAATAACATAAGTCTTCTCTTTTTCTGTGATCATCGCATCGGCAAAGTCCCAAGATTTAAAAGTTTTTAAAGTAAATCTTTTGTCCTTCAAAATACAATCCATATTCGAACTTTAAACAATTTAGAGATAATAGAAATATACAAGGTTTTTATATACTAATTTGTTTTGTTTTATAAAAAAAAATACATATTAATTAGTAAAAAATGGAGACTGTCATTAAACTAAAACGTGCCTTAGTATTTATTTAACGGAATCTGTAATGTGCGCGTGCATAATAAAACCTCCGTTATATAAATATATTCAACGTAATATTAGTGTCATCAGCGGATGTTGTAGTCTACTCATGATTTCTTTACCTTATATTATAACTTGATTTATGAAAAAAAAAACTTATTGAATCGCACGCAGAAGAATTTTAACAAATTGTCTTCATTCAAATATTGCGAGTAACAGGTAATTTTTTTTTCTGTGCCGACCCCCTCCCCCCGCATAACTTAAATTATATACTAATAAACTAATAAGAAAAGCTATATACTATTAAACTAACTATAAGCTATATACTATTAAACTAATAAGAAAAGCAAAGACATTTTTTTTAACATCTCGAAAAAATGTCTTGATATTTTTGTTATCATGATAACAAAAATATTAAGACATTTTTTGAGATTTTATTTTAAAAAAATGTCAATTCTTAATTACAAATTTTTTTGCAAATGTTTTTTATTATAAATTCAGTAAAAAATTCATAAAAAATCTATATTACAAAAAACTTTTATATTCTGTATTAATAAATATGGAATATAGATTTTTTAAAAGTTTTTTACTAAAAACTTTAAAAAATTACTACTTTTTATTTAAAACATTGCAAAAAATTTGTAGTTAAGGATTGACAAACAATTTTTCATGTTGCTAAATATTTGGATAAAAAGTTTAGCGTCAAATTAATTGCTATAAAAAGGAAAGATATATCGCAATGAAAAGTTACAATAATTTATTAGTAAGTAAATTCATTTTTTTAAATAAATACCTTTACATAACGTTATTTAAAAGTTAATGTGGTTTTTTTGAAAATTAATTACTTCTTTTATGTTACCGCTAATTTAAAAGTTAAAAAATGATAAAAAGTAGCTTAACCAAAACAGCTCTACGCGTACGTAAAAAGCGCTTAAGGCTTACGTAAATCGCTCTAGGCGTAACGCTTTAAAACAAGGCCTGATATATATATATATGTAGTGATGCTATTTTGTGCATATACTATCAAGAAAGTGCTCGATAAACTAAGTCAGAGCTATAATATATATATAGTAGAAAATAAAACTACGTGATTTTCACAACTTTAAGTTTCATGCTGTTGCAATCATCAGGTGAAATACCTGATATATTTCACCTGATGATTGCAACAGCATGAAACTTAATGTTGTGATATAATATATATATATATATATATATATATATATATATATATATATATATATATATATATATATATATATATATATATATATATATATATATATATATATATATACAAAAGTTTAATTATTTTTAGTAATCACTGACAAAAATCATCAACTGGCACAAAGAATAGCAAAATAACACAAGTCAAGTTAAATTAAATGAAAATGGTTTAAATTATAGATAAAAAACATGAAATTTCGCAGGAATCGAATATGCATTGCTTTATTATTTTTAATATGGATTGGAGGAATGTTATATTTTTTTGTAAGTAACAAAGATGAAAATGATAAAGGAGAAATATCTGTTGAAGAGAGAAATAAACATATTGACAATGGTAAACTAAGTAGAGAAAAAGATAGAATAGAAAGAGATATTAATGTAGCTAATATAGTTAAAGATCCAAAATTTAGAAACAATGAACAAATTGATCAACGAAGTTTAGCGAAATTCGATTGGAAAGGTTATCAACTTAGAGGTGCATTAAAACCTGGTGAGGATAAAAATCAACGTAATGCATATAATCAAGAAGCCAGTGAGTTATTACCATGGGATAGAGTTGTTCCTGATGTCCGTGATCCTGGGTAAATGTTACTAAATTTTATTCTTTTTTTATTGATGGTTTACTCTATATGGCAAAATTTTAATAATTATGTATAATAATTGCTGTATTTAACTAGAACATTTTTTCTTTCAACTGTATTTAGTCACTTTTTTTTTCTTTAAATCTTACTATCTATTTTCTTGCAAGTTTTTGCTGCAAATTGCAATGAATGAATGATCTATAGAGAAGTTTATCATCACAAATGGTGCTTTTTTTTCTGTAATAGAAATCTTTATATATATATATATATATATATATATATATATATATATATATATATATATATATATATATATATATATATATATATATATATATATATATATATATATATATATATATATATATATAAGGCATGCTATCGGAAAAATCTGCCCACCTTTCTTGATCAAAAAAAGATGTAAGAAAGCTTAAATGTATTTAAAATAATATATTTCTGAAAAATTAAGACTGTAAAGATTACATATTAATAGGGAAAAAATAATAAAAAATTAAGTTTTACAGAAAATTTTGACTTTCTTTTTCATGCCTCCCATAAGTTTCTGGACAGAGTGATTTTTGTAAGTTTTAGCAGCGTAATCCCATTTTTTCTTCAAATCTGTAGCAGATTTTACTGTTTTTCCACTTGATTTTGATTTCTTTTTTATGATGGCCCAATATTTTTTAATAGGACGTAATTCGGGGCAGTTTGAAGGATTCATCTTTTTTGGAATCAACATTACTCCATTATCATTGTAAAACTTTTGAGCATCTTTTGAGTAATGTATTGAGGCTAAATTAGGCCAAAACAATACTGAAGTACTTCTATGAGCTTTAATTAGTCATTTTATACGAGAAAGACAATATTTTACGTATTCCGAAGATTTCATTGTGCCTAAACAATCATGAATTAGCGATTTTTTGCCGCAAGAGCAAAGTGCCTGCCAAATCATCAATTCTTTCAAAAATTTATCAGTCATTACAAACTTGTATTTATCACTCACATTTCCTCTTATTTTTGAAGCATAGTAGCACTGCCCAGGAATTTGTTTAAAATCTATTTTAACATAAGTTTCGTCATCCATCAAAATGCATCCATTATGTTTTGTTAACAAGTTGTCATACAACTTTTGAGCTCTACTCTTTTTGGTTGAATTTTTTTTATCGTTGCGATTTTGGCATTTTAACTACTTTAAAACTTTGATATCCAAGTCTCTGTTGCCATTTGTGTACAAAAAAATTGGAAACCTTCAGTTTTTTTGCTCGAAATCAATCAGACCAATCAGGATGTTCTTCCAATGAAGTCTCTAACTGTTCGAGAGCTATAGGATTTGCTGTGCGTTTTTTTGAACCACTTACTTGTTTTCTCTGAATAGTTTTCTGTTCTGTAAACCGTTAAAGAACAGTATCTACAGTTCTTGATATTTTTAATGATTTCTCCAACTTTCTATTCGATAAAGTTGGATTTTTTAAGTGTTTGTCCACAATCAAAAATCTTTGTTTAGTTTGCTCGGTTGACATTTTGAAACTAAATATTATTTTTAATTATTTTTTTCTGCCAAAATGTTCTATTATACAAACACTACCACACACAAAAAAATAATTTCAAAAAACGACCGTTAACTAGCTTTACCACACCGCAAAAAGTGGGCAGATTTTTCCGATAGCATGCCTTAACCAATTTAAATAGTATTTGCGCAGGAGAATTAATTAATATTAACTAGTTAACATTAATATTAACTAGTTAACATATTTTAAAATGAATTTGATAGGCATGAGATATCTAGCAACAACAACAACAATATATTTATTTTCCTTAAAATTTACAATCATATAATTACAATAATATAATAATAAAAATAATAATAATAATAATAATAATAACAACAATAATAATAATAGTAACAATAATAAGAATAAGAATATCTGTAATATTATAAATAATAAAATCAAAATATAATTATTCAGAATAAATATAAATAATTGATTGAGGAAGGAGTCACTCATGCAGAATCCTGATCAAAGGAGTGACACCAAATAATTATATTAATAATATTAATTTAAAAAATAATAATAGCAATAAGAACTTTATTAATTGATAGAGCAAAAGTAACAGCAAAAACAATAGTATTTATGATAATTGTAATAATAATAGTAATAATAAAAACAGCAGTAATGAAAGTAATAAATATTAATGACAAAAATAATAAAGTTTCTATAGAAATAGCAAGATAAAAAAAAAAAAAAAACTAAAGAAAGTTAATAATGATAAGAACTTAAAATATTTTTTTTTTTAGAATTTGTTTAAATTTATTTTGTTTTAAATAAAGAAATAAAGATTAATTTTAAAATTTTAATTTTTCAAACTCATTCACAATGCACACAAGACTTCGATTCCATTCACTGATGCATTGATTTACTATACCTCAAAGTTTTATAGGAGATACATATAGTTTTCCATTATTGGTGTTTCTAGTTGAATGTGTATGTATAAATTGAGTCTTAGTGAAGTAGGTTGTAATAGAGGAAGGTAAATTTTTATTAAGGGAGTCAAAAACAAAATGAAGATTAGTAAATTTAACTAGTGCTGAAAAAGTAGGAATTTTAAGTTTTTTAAAGAATTTTGAGGTTTCTGTGTTATGGAGTTGAAAGTTAATTATTCAGATTAATTGGCGCTGAGCTGAATTATTAATATTACAGTTGCCAATTTATTAATATTACAATTTATTAATATTACAGTTGCCAATTTGTCCCTAAACTTGACAACAGTAGATGAGATTTGGAAATATTTTAATTTTTCATAACTTTTCTTACCATATGCGAAGTCATTGCAATTAATGAATTATTTGTAAATAAATTTAAAATTCTCTATTGCGCGTTTTTTTTTTAAATTATTGAATTGTATTAGAATCATTTAACATCAAAACATCAAAATGGTGGCAACTAAAATGAGGCAATCAACACTTTCATTTTTAACACCAGTATGATCATAGTTAAAACCACTTGTTGAAAAGAAAAACAATAGAAATTTTTATCGTCCAAAAAAAAATTGACCAATTCCATGTGTTAACTAAACAAATTGAATGCTTACCTTTGGTTTCTTATTTTCCATGCTGCGTATTTATGTTTCTTCCTGCCCTATGTAGGTTTTGACAATTTTTTTTGTAGAGGTTTTGTTTACTGTTTTCATAGTTTTTTCTATATCTTTATCAAACTGATATTTTTTATCAAATAGCAGCAATTGATTTTAAGGGGTAAACAGGTTCTATCTGTTGACCAGCCTTGCACCCCTTCTTCATCAATTAGGCTAGCGCATATGTATTTTTAATACATTGTTTCCAGTTTAGGATGTTGATTGCTGGATCTTCTTGACTCAATTCATGGCTTTTGCTTGTGTCTCTGTTTTTATGATTAGGCGACTCATTCTATTATCTCCTAATGAGAGTACAGCTCTAAAACTCAGATTTTGGTTCTGAGGCCGGCTGGTAGTTAGGTTTCCCTGTGGTTCTCTCAAGAGTCAGATTTTCCCTGTGGTACTCTCAACTTTGTAGTAGCTCTCAGAAAAACTAGTTCCATCAACAGCTGAAAAATATCAAAGTATTAACAGTGCCATGTTGCGCATGGATGGTGCCCCTGTTTGTACTTTTGGTGTATATTGTCAAGGCTACACTTGGAGCCCTTTGTTAGGGTTTATTAATTTGAAATGAGGTAATTGCTTGGGTTATTAAGCAGTGTACTGAGTACTTTCTATGCTTTGAGCCAAGTTCTTAAACAAATTTAAAAATAAATAAAGTACCAAAAACTCTAAAACACGAAAAACCATTGTTATCACCAAGTTCTTTAAACCTAACATTCACTAATATTCATGGTCTTCGAATTAACTTTTCTTCTGTTGAGTCTTATCTCTTGCAAAGTTCACAAGAACTACTTGCTCTTTTTGAGACTAATTTGAGTTCAGCTGTCTCATCTTATGATCTTAGTGTTGATGGTTATCTTTCTTTAATTTGTAAAGACTCCAATAGTTATATCCTCGGCCTGGGCATTTACATTCAAAAGAATTCGCCTATTTGTTGGGAAACTTAGTTTGAATCCACAGATTATTCTTTTATGTTTTTCGTTTAGCACTCTATTGCCTATCTCTTTTGCTCTCCTTCACCTCAAGACTGATCTCTTTTTGATGTTATTTCTGATCAAATTGACCAAGCCCTCTCTCTTTATCCATCAGCCAATATTGTTGTTGTTGGTGACTTAATGCTCATCACACTTAATGGCTTGGCTCGTGTGTTAGTGGCTTCTGGATGATTATTTTAGTAAAATATATATTATTTAAATATGATATCTACTATTATCTGCTTTATTGTATATATTAATATATAATATATGGACCTTGATATTATCTGCGATCATCTAGAGTATTTTTAGATGTTGAACAGAATTTGAACCATTTAATTAGGTTTTAGCATTGTATTACATCTTAATTTTTACCCATTAAATACTCATCAGGGTTGGCAAAAAAAACCCAACCCAAAAAAACCCAAAAAAACCCACCTTAAAAAAACCCAATAAAACCCAAAAAAACCCAAAATATATTTGGGTTTTTTTAAAAATGACCTATTTTACAACTGATATCTCTGATTTTAACACTTATAAATGCTTTATTATCAGCAAGTGCAACCTTTATACTGTAATTACTCTTGTAAACACTGTATTTATATACATAATGGTCTTTAGAATATACCCAAAATCGATCAATCTGTTTTTGTAGCAAGTTGGTTATTTATTATTTTTTTAAAACATTTAACAAGTTATTATAAATGTTATTGAAATATGTATTAAAACATTAAATTAGTTAAATACTTATAAAGGAAATAAAAATCATTCTATTAACTAAATTTCAAGACATTACTAGTTATTTAGTATCTTTATTCTCCTCCCGAATGTCTATATTCCTTTATATTGGTATTTGATCTTTTATTTTTTTATGTTGTTAACTGCAAAAAAAAAAATACAAAGCCACAAGCAAAATACTATATATAATATATATATATTTATAATATATATTTAGAAATGGAAAGTTGTCAGGCAAAAAAAAAATACTACAGTTTACTAGATTTGTCCTTAAGTGCATACAACTTTAAAACTTAAAAAAAAATTAAGTTATGTGCAAGCAAGCTTGCAACATGTTTGCTCATTCAACGAGAGAACATGTTGAAAACTTGTATGCATTTCACAAGGACAAGATTTGTTGGTAAAAATGACACTCGTGCTCATCTGTCTTTTGACAGGTTTTGAATATATTTTGCATCAGCTACAAGTTTACAACATGTACCACCAACAGGGGTGACTATGAACAGCGGGTTGAAAATTAACATCAGTATCAAGTTGCTAAAAGGTGAAGAAACACACACACAATAGAGCTATATAATGTGTTACTTTGATTCAGTTTGCAATTTGCATTGCAAAACTGAGCCGGTAAAACATCTTCAAGGAAAAAAACAAACTTGGTGGCGAAGACACTGTAATGGTTCTTAACAAATTTACTTTATATATATTTAGAAACAAAGTTTAGGCAAAAATCCATTTTTTGCCAGTCCAGTTGATCAGGCCGATAACTTTTCCAGGAAGCTGGACAGTATAATGTTCTGATAAAAAAAAATGTAGTGATTAGGCTAGCAGTTTTCTTCTATGATACAAAAATGTTTAAAAAGTGTTCATAGTCATCCTGATTGATAATAACTTATAAGGTTGCAACATCATGTTGCAAACTTGTTGATTACACGTTGTAAACTTGTGCAAAATAGTTTTTGAAATGGTATGTTGAACATGTTAGTAAAAAAAACTAGTTTGCAACATTTATATTGTCTTACCAACTTTGAATAACTCAATTGTCATGATTTTTACACTGATTTTATTTTAGTCAAAAATATTCTGAACATGTTTTTAATTTAGAGCAATTAATTAACATCATTTATAGTTGATGGAGCCCCTTTTTGCACTATAGGTAAAATGTGCTAGTAGACTAGTAACAAAACATTTGGCTCACAACCAGAAGGTTGGGGTTCAAATTACCTCTGCTGAAATTACTGTCTCAATCTATTTCTCCACACAACGCCTTTGTTTAAAAATTTTAGTTGTTAATGTTGTTTGTTAGTAAAAATGGTAATGTTAAAGATTGAGACAAAATATTTTTAAAAAATGAGTTGCTCCCTTGACTGAAATGGTCATTGGAGCAATAGGGAGGTGAATTTATGAAATTAAAAAAAAAAATTATTGTACTCATACAAATTATAGAAATTTGGTATTGCGATCGATTTTTAAAAAAACCCATAAAACCCAAAAAAACCCATTTGGGTTGGGTTTTTTTAAAAAACCCTGGGTTTTTTCCAACCCTGATACTTATTAAACTTTTTTTATGTATTCATTGAACTTTTTTATGTATTCATTGAACTTTTTTATGTATTCATTGAACTTTTTTATTCATTGAACTTTAAACATAAAATAACTGAAATAACTGAGTAACCGATAAAAAAGTGTTAAATTAATAAAAAGTTTCAAAAAGAAGATATTAAAAATTAATGAGTAAAAAAAAATTGAATCTGATAATAAATTAAAAACTTCTTTTTAAGTTGGTGATGAATCCTAAGTTTTATGTGAGATTTTCCCCACTTAATGCTCATTTTCCCCACTTCTGCATCATCTGCATCATGCCATCTGCACAAGTTACTAAAGACAAAGAAGTATCAAATTTCAACATTTTTCTTTTAGATGTAGAAAAAAGAGTTATGATAAAAACTTACCAACTACAACAATCATAATTTGCTTTCACAATGAAGGTCGGGCAGCTCTTTTAAGAACAGTTGTCAGGTTTGCTTATTATTTGAAAATATGTTTTAAATCTCTATTGTATGTATTTATAAAAACTATAAAAAGTTATTTTAACTTTTTTTAATTTTTTTTTCTTTAAAGTTCATGTTATAATTATCCTATGATGTCAAGATAAGTTGTCTTTATTTCTTAAAGAAATATTAGCTATTGAGTTTTAGGTAATTAAGGCCAAAAATAAGTATTTTTCTAGTTAAGTCAGAAACTATTCAATATTATAGAAAAATTTTTGTCCATATTTTTTATTAAAAAATATTACTTTAATACGCCCATAGATACATGCATAAATACATACAGGCCTTGGCCGCAGTAAATAAGTACAAGAGTGGAAAGATGTTTTCTAAAAAGAATGGCGAGCTATGCAATTTACAATAGCTTTCAATTTTAGTGCTAGCTATCTGTTTATTCTTTTAAAAAAAAATGATTATTAAATAAAAAAAATTGATTTTATACTCCTTACTAGTGTTACAAAAAAAATCAGTGACTGTTATGCTAAAAAATAAAGTCACAAAATTAACTATATGAGTAAGATGTAACTACACCTTTTTAAGATGTAAATGAGAACATGAAAGTTGTAATTAAGAAGTCGTAATATGTAATTAAGAAACACAACATGTAATTGAGAAAACGTTATATGTAATTGAGAAACACAACATGTAAATAAGAAGTCGTAACATGTAATTAAGAAACACAACATGTAATTGAGAAAACGTAAGATATAATTGAGAAATCATAATATGTAATTGAGAAATCGTAACTTGTAATTAAGAACACATAAATTAAAATAGTAAATTCACAGTCTAAGTTTGTAGGTTGTTACAAAAGGTCTTTTTGGACATGAATTTAAGTTATAATCTTAAATTTTGCTTTTGTATGCACAAGTAATAATAATGGAATTGAAAGATCGTTGTGTTATATGCCAATACACTATGACCCGAAAGTCTGTGATTAAGCTAAATCCGTGTCAACATTTATATCACCAAATTTGTTTACGTCCAGTTCTGGAACAACCAGATTCAAGTTGTCCGATTTGTCGGCATGAAATACACACAACTGAACAAGTTGAAAGGAAACGTTAGGTTTTATCTTCTCCAAATGACAGGAGAAGAGTTGTTGAATGTGCGGAGCGATTTGAAGATTGGGTGAATCTCGCGCAAATGCTAGGTATCAAATATAAGACAGCATACAATTAGGTTCGCAGCGGAAATTCAAATTTCATCGGAAAAGGAGGTTTTAAAACGAAAAAGTTGACTGAAGATCAAATCGAAGAAACATTAACATGGATTGAAAATGATTGTCAATTAACATTGGTGGCCATCAAAACAAAGATATTAAGACAATTTAACATAAACGTTAGCACAACAACAATAGCAAATTACCTCGAAGGCAGATTGTTCTCATTAAAAAAAGTGCACAAGGAGCCTTCTACAATGAACAGTTATGAAAACAAACAAAAAAGAGCTGAATATGTTAGAAACATCAACGAACATATCACAAATGGTCGTCAGATAGTTTGGTTGGATGAAACAAATTTTAACCTTTTTTGTAGAAAAACGCAAGGACGCGCGAGACAAGGAAAAAGAGCAATTATGAAAGTTCCTGCTTCAAAAGGTTTAAACATACACTTGATCGCAGCTATTTTAACTACAAATGTCGTCATGATAGAAACTCGCAGGGGATCATTTAAAGCAGATTCCTGTAATGAGTGGATGTCGGCTATGTTTCACCAGTGGGTTACATCCGGGAATCGTTTGGAGGATTTGGTCGTCGTAACAGATAATGCTCCTTGTCACGCTCGTTTGCAAAGGGTGTTTGATAATTCACCAGCTCAGTTGTTACGTTTGGGACCTTACAATCCAATGTTGAACCCGATGGAAACGATCTGGTCCAAAATTAAAAGTAACGTTAAAAATGCAATTCGCATTCCACCTGTATTAGGTGACGGGATTGCGGAACAGCGCATGCAGTACTTAGAACGAATTGTAATTGAGGTGAAAAATACTATAATGGGAGGATATTGTGCACGTGCGGTACAACACACAACCCAAAAATTATAAATTTTTCCCTAAATTTTTCCCTAAAAAATTAAATTTACGCTACAAATCTTGCGTCATTTTTAAGTGCGTCATCTTATACGCTCCATTTTTTTATGCGCCATTTTTTTTAAGCGCCATTTTACACTTACTCCTTTAAAGCGATATCTAAATTAAAATTTTTGTGTTCTCAATTACATCTTTCTATTTCTTAATTACAACTTACATTTTCTCAATTACATGTTACGATTCTTAATTACAATTTTCGTTTTCTAAATAACATCTTATGTTTCTTAATTACAACTTACGTTTTCTCAATTACATTTTACGTTTTCTCAATTACAATTTTTGTTTTCTCAATTACATCTTGAAAAGGTGTAGTACTAGAGCCAAGCCTCTAAACTATTGTTGTAATTGGTGCACTAAATTCACCAATAACAACAGTTTAGTTAAGTAATAAAGAGAAAGAGAAAACAATTTTATAAAGAGTGCAGTTTTGAAGAAAGAGAATGTGAGATGTGATTGAGAACAAAAAGAAAAGTGATTGATTGAAGAGGTGCTAAACAAAAGCGCATAGCCAGAGAAATAGTAAATTTTTTCAATAGAAATAAATTTATTTCTATTAAAAAAATTTAATAGAAATAAATTTATATTAAAATTTATTATGTAATCTTTTTTGAATTAAATAGTAATGATAATTTTTTAAATGTGTTCAAGTTTAACAAATTTTTACTTTTTATTATTTGAAACGTTTATTGTTCTTTATTTTTATGTTTTATGATTTTTATTATAAAAGAAAAAGTTATATTTAAAAAATTTACTTTTAATTTCATTAAATTTTAATAAAGTTTTAAAGGAAATTGAACCTTAATTAATAATGTATAAGCTTCTAGAAAAATAACAACTTGTTTAATTTCAATATCTTTGACTTCAAAAGTGTTTTGCCCTGGAGACAAACTTATAAAAAAGTAGGAGTACTGATTTATGTAAAGAAAAGTATTGTATATAACATGAAGAATAATAAATGGGTCCCTGAATCAGAAACTCAAGTAACTTTCTGAACAAGTTCGATGTTTTAAGATATTCTGATGGTGATAAAGAAATTGCAACTATTGAAATTTTCAACATTATTAATATTAACTTAATTAATATTAACTTTGACTGTTGAATCTGGCCTGTTGAACAGATAATAAAAACTTGACTATAATGACCTATTCTTTACAAGCTGACAGCCGATCAATGATCTCCCAATATCAATTCTGGCCAAACAAATATGATTGCCAAGAATTTCAAAGCAAACTTAGTAATAAAAAGTTTAAATACTTTCAACAAAAAAAAAGTTTAAATTATTAAGTTATAACAATCTTTAATTTACAGAATAAAAAAAGTGAAAAAATATTGAATAACCAAAAATACAGAATGATAAAAAATACCAAATATTTTTGATTGGCTGAATAAACCTAGTTTGTGATCATATTTAATTAGATAATTAAATGATAATGAATTTTTATGAATGAATTAAATTTTTTATAAATGAAATACAAAAAAACTAAAAATATTAACGTTTCTTTTAATATCCAAATTATTAAAGCAATTAAAGGAATTTAAGCAAATTAACTTAATAATCTGTTTAATAATCTCAAAAGTTTGTGATTATTAAATGTCAAATGTTAAAATTGATTAAAAAGAAATTATAAAATAAATTAGTTAAATTTGTTAAATGTTAAAATTGATTAAATAGAAATTATGAAATAAATTATAATCATAAAATAGATGGAGGCAAAATACAACAGACAATTATTTCATTTAAAAAGAAATTAGTGTGTCTAAAAAAAGATTATCTTTTCCTATTATTTTGAATGTAGCTATTAACAATTTTTAATTGCAATTTTATTTTGTAAAAAAAAAGCCTATAGGGTTTTTTCATTTATAAAAAACCTGCATTTTTAAATCACTAACATGGACACATACTAGTTGCAACATGGCACTGTTAGTTCTTTGGTATTTTTCATCTGTTGATGGAATTCTCTTTTGTAAGAGCTGCCACAGAGTTAGGGAACAGAAGAGTTACATAACAATTACTAAAGAAGTTCAAAAAAAGAACTAAGAAGGTCTAGTGTTTATCATGATTGCCAAGAAACACAGATTTAAATCTATATCAGCAATTAAACGAAGGAGTGTAATGCTGGATAACAGGAATTTCTACTCAGTCTCCTTTGGTAGTCTCTTTTAATCAGTCTCTTTTGATATTTGTACTTTTGCCAAAATTACATTTAAACAATAATTAAAAGAAGTTAAAATGTAAAAATATAAAAGATTATTTAAGAATATTTTAAAAAGTATTAAAAAAAAAAAGAGGATTAATGTAAAACTTTATTTCATGCTAATTTATTTTATTAGGAGTTCAGATTCAGAGTTAGAAGTCCTAAGTTCCCTTTTTTTGCCCTCAGTCTCAGGAGTATAAAATTTTTTTGACTCTAGTGAGTTTTTTTTTTATTATCCAGTTATTAAAGTGCTCCAAGACAACCAAACAGTTTTGTAACAAAACATTAATTTCCTGATATGCAGTTATTACATTTTACATATTATTACATGGAATATATTGTTATGGCAAATTTTGTCTTATGTCTTTGGAGATTTTGAGAAGTATTTTAAAAGAAATTTAATAAATTGATGCAGAAAACAACATAATTCTTCTTTTCATTTTCATTACAAGTTGGTGAATACAAAGTTTTCCTAACTGCCAAACAGACGAATCATCATCTATTATTCTTATTAATTCACATTATTCAACAACTACCAGACAAACTATTGCTTAATTCATAAGAGAAAATTTAATAGTACCTTATCATTTACAGGATCTTCTCATCTAAAAATTCCAGATAAAATCAAAATATTTAAATTTAAGTTCCATCATTTTTGACCTTGGAGTCCCAGAAAACAAAAAATTGTATGGAACTCCACATCCTCGATCGTTATGTTTTTCTGTTTTTATTTGTTTTCTTTTTTTACTTTATTAAAATAATAATAAAGGATTATGTTATTTATTATTATTATTTTTTTTCTTAATTTATTAATTTATTTGTGAAAAATGATTAATAATCAGTGTTTTTCTTAATTTAATCAAAAAAAAATCTTAATTAAATCAAAAAAAATTTTGTTTTCAATAATAAACTTTTTTTTTTCTTTTTTGAAAAATATATTACAAAATTTAATTTTAGTGCATTAAATAAATCTCCAGAGCATCTTTTAAAAGAAATCATTCTTGTTGATGACTTTAGTGACAACCGTAAGTATTTTATTATTTACTCAATTGTTTTAAGTTATTTAATGTGAACTTTAAAGTTATTTAAGTTACAGAGAATGATTGGACAAATAAGTTTAAAAAATAGTAATTATTAAAAAAAAATTGTGATTTTTTTTAATTTGAATTTTGTTTTAAAAAAGTTTAAACATTGTGCAATTTTATGGTGCAATTGGGTAATAACTTTTTTTATGTAATATTTAGCTCTTGATGGGGAGGAGTTACTAGCTTTACCTCGTGTTAAATTGATTAGAAACAATCAGCGTGAAGGACTTATTCGTTCTCGTGTTAAAGGTGCAGACATGGCTGTTGGTGAAGTGTTGACTTTTCTTGATAGTCACTGTGAGTGCAACGAAATGTGGCTGGAACCATTATTGCAAGCAATTAAAGATGTATAAACAAGTTTATTATATATATATATATATATATATATATATATATATATATATATATATATATATATATATATATATATATATTGATATCCCTAAGCACATAGGTGTACACTGTCCTAATATGTTTTGAATGCTTTAAGTTTAAAATGCTAACTTTACACTAAACAGTTTTTTTTAGAAAAGGGAAACAAATATAATTTTTTTTTTTTTTTGATATTATAAATGCCAAAACCATTAGTTGATATGTACGGAACCTCCCACATGCGGGTTTTGGTATGGTGTTATCAGTTATATCATGCTAACCTAAGGGCACAAAGACATTTTGTATGTGTGTATACTTAGTGTGTGTGTGTGTACTTGACAATTAGTATTATTGATCATAGTTTATCAAAACTGAAAAAAAATTCTAAAAGTTTTGTTAATATATTCCTTATTCAGTAATGTTGAAATATATTTGTTCATTATGTTAGTTATTATATATAATGTTAAATATCATTATGTAAATTATTAATTTTCTTAGAATCGTAAGATTGTTGCTTCGCCTATTATAGATGTTATTGGTCATGAGGACTTTAAGTATTTGAGTTCATCTTCAGATCTTAGGGGAGGTAAAGTATTCTTCTGAGAATTTACTCAATAAAATGTTAAACTTTAGTTTTTATGCTAATTTTTATTTTATTAATTGATTAATTAATTTAATATACACAATTATGTTCACATTTTCAAGTCAAAAAAAAAAAAAGATTAAATGTAAACATCTAATATTTTTTAATTTTTTGAGCTTTATTTTTTTAACTCAAGCATGTTTTGGATGGGCATCATATGAACATGCGCTTATTTGTTTTGAGGAAAAAAAGATGGAAATTAGTATTTTACCTTATTAATGGTTATTTTCCTAAAATAAACCTTCGAACAGCTGGTTGTAGTTGTTTATAATCATTTTTTGATTATAATCATTAATGATTATAAACAACTATAACCATATATTCCCTTTTTGAAAATTATACTATAAAAATTTATAAAAATTACCCTTTAAACTTTATACTGTATTTAAAAAAATTAAAAATTCTATTATAAATTATTTTGCAAAGATTTAGAAAACGAATAAAGTTAAAAATGTTGTTTTTAATTTCAAGGTTTTGGTTGGAATTTAAATTTCAAGTGGGATTTTTTACCACCAAACCATCTTATTAAACATCAACAAGACGGAACAGCTTTTATTCTGTAAGATATAACTTTTTTATTTAAACTCATATTTATTCTGTAAATTTATTTGAATGTATTTTTTTTTTTTTCTTTTGTGTTCAATATTTTCAGTGACAAATTTTCTTAAACTATACTCTCTAAAATCAATGTTCAGGTTTGGACAGGAATGTCATGCGATCGAGCGCTATTGCTGACAGCACAAATAATTTTATATTTTTACAACTTGACCACGATTGTTTATATGTTTTGATGATTTAAGCATTTTAGAAATGCGCTGAATGTAGAAGCGCTTAGCTTAAACTTAAACTTGGAAAAAAGTTAAAAAAAAAAACTAACAAAAAGAAAAAAATGCCTTACAAATTAAAAAATAAAAACATAAACTCGAAACGAAACTTTCTGTTACGTTTTTAATTATGGTTGAAATAAATGTTATTAAAACTTTTCTTTTTAAACGTTTTATTAAAGTTATGCAATACGTTTTTAAATTAAGTAACAAATTACTACTAATGATTGTTTAATAAATGAACAAATTATATCAAATTTATTAAAAAGTGTTGTATATAGTGTTTTTAAATTGTATAAACATTTATTTTTTCAAAAAAGTCTTTTTAAAATAGTAATTTAATAATAATTTCAAGTTTTAATTTAGTAAGTCTAGTTAAAAAAAAGGTTTTCAAATTTTTTACTTGAAAAAAAATAAAAAAATAAAATGTGCCTGCGATTTAAATAAAATAAACTGCCAACAAGCAATTTAATTTTAATTTGAGCATTAAAACTTAATTAATAAGCGCTTCACGTAACAAATTTAAAAATTATTATAAAAGGTTTAAACTAATTCATTCCTATTGTAATTAAAAATAAAAAATTTTTTTTTTTAAAAAAAAATAAATAAAATGTTTGTAAAAAAAAATAAAATGGTATGTTTAATTATAAAAATTAATTGTGTGAACATTATAAAATGCTTCAAAACTTGTCCATTAATCAACAAAATACATGCTTATATAAGTAAACAAAGTAATTTTATATTCTCGTATAATTCACATAAAATGTGTAAAAGCTAGTAGTCACAAAAGGTTTTGAACTTATTCATAAATTAAAGTAATTTAAAAATTTTTTTTTCTAAAAATAATAGTTTGAAAATTTTTTAGGAAATTAAAGAAAAATAGTTTCAAATGTTTAAATTTATCATAAAAAATACGCCTACATAAAAAAAAATTAAATACAACATTTTTTATTAATTTACACAGGCTTTATGTAAACAATCATAATTAATTTTATGGTTTTATTTAAAAAATTCGTTTAAATAAAAACTTTAGAAAAGATCAACGATTAAAAGTTATTCATAACGTAACATTTTTTTTAATGCATTTAAATTGTTCAAACATTAAAATAGCCATGGTCAAGTTGTAAAGAAAAAAAAAGTTAGCGTTTTCAGTAACAGTGCGATCGCATGCCATTTCTGTCCAAGCCTGCATGTTTTACAAAAAATGTTAGCACTACAACAAAAAAGTTACATCTTTTTGCAGTAAATTTTTTTAAGTCAAATTTTTTTATAATACATTTTTTTTTTTGCACAACAAATAAAATTGTATTTGAGAATCCATTTTGCAAAACTTGCAAAGTCCCTCTTAATTGATTAATAACAGCAAAAGACTGAAATTCTTACACATTCTACTGGAGATAGACGATGGCAATGAAATTGATATTTTCTTTGTCTTTTTTTAGGACAAAACAACTTTCAATTTGTCTGATATTTAAATAGATGATTACAATATAAAGAATGTGGAAATAAAGCTAACAAAATTTTTATTTTGTGATTTTTTTTTTTGAGCATGTTTTGCCGATGGGCTTCTCATTTGCTTGATAAACATTTTTTTCTGTTTTGCAGATTTATATTACAGCATCTATTTAGATCTAGTAATTGTATTGTTTATTTTCCTAGGAAAATTTACGTTGTCTGTGGCCTTATTTGGGGAACATTATCTTTAAATTTACCTTTTATAATAAATTTAAAACAGGCGTGCATCTTTATAATTTACATTGACCACCTTTGTATGAGAGACTCAAAAATGCAAGGCAGCTTTCAAATACTTTCAGGAAGACATTGACACATACTATATGGTTTTAATGCCATAAGGAAAAGTTGACATAAGTGATATATCACAAATCATTCAGAAAAAAAGATCATATGAAATCTAAAATTTTATTAAAATCTAGGAATGGAATGCAAGAAGAGAACTTGAGTTAAATTCAACTTGAAATTTGAAGTCTGATTTTGTCAAGTTAGACTTCAAAAAAAGCTTCAACAAATGCGTAAACAAAACTTGAAAATTTTAAGATCACACTTGAGAAAGCCAAACTTGGAAGTCTTAAAAAGCGTTGATTTGAAGGCATTTCTATGTTTTTGAATGTTATTTTTATTTCTCAAGATAATACTTTTTATTTTTTAGATTTTTTATTTACTTTATCAATAAAAAAGATTTTCTTTATTGATACTTTTTAATTATTTATGTTTTTATTCTTTGATAATTTCTAAAAAGAATCACTATTTTAATTTCTTTTTGTTCCTCCTACAAAACCTTTCGTAGATATTTCGTAAATGTCTATAAATTTTTTTGGTTTTATTTGTAATTTCCAAAGCAACATTCCACTGTCACGCTTGTCCTGATAATATAGGACATTGTCCCCTAAAACCAAAGGATGATGAGCTTCTAAGATCTGTTAAATGGCTAAGTTAGTAAATACTTGTGATACTTGAACACATCTAGCCCATTGAATACAAGGAGGCAAAAATTTTTTTGAAGGACCTTTAATCATCTGTTAGTTCAAAGCCCTTTGTATCAAAATTTAAATTACCCTTTTACGTTTTGATACAATGCTGCATTTTCTCTTTCAGGACTTGTTATAGGATATGCTCCATCTATTTTTCCAATATATCCAAGAAATCTCCAAAGCTCATAAAATCTGAAAAGTTTAAAAACACTGTTTATATATAAATAAAACTACAATTTCATAGAATGAAGCAATAGCTGATATTTATCCTCTATAGTATCTCATATATATATATATATATATATATATATATATATATATATATATATATATATATATATATATATATATATATATATATATATATATTTATATATATATATATATATATATATATATATATATATATATATATATATATATATATATATATATATATATATATATATATATATATATATATATATATATATAACAATTTTTGTTTCAGTTTAAACAGCATGTTCTGATTTTACAATAATCGTTTTCAAGTATAAAACTGTTTAATACAAATTTTTTTGTTTTCTCCCATCTAACTTTATTTCTTTTAACCATGTAATTTATGATGATGTAATCATATGAGGTTACAGCTTCTAATCATCCAATAGTACAGTGATTACATCATCACTGGCACATATAATCAGGGGCGTGCTGGCTCCAAAAAGCGCATGCAGGATTTTTTCAAAAAGGCCCATATAAGTCCACATTTGTATATGTATTTAAATATATATGTGTGTAAATATATATATATATATATATATATATATATATATATATATATATATATATATATATATATATATATATATATACATACATATACATATACATATACATATATATATATATATATATATATGTATATATATATATATATATATATGTATATATGTATATATATGTATATATATATATATATATATATATATACATATATACATATATATATATATATATATGTATATGTATATGTATATATATATATGTATATGTATATGTATATATATATATATATATATATATATATATATATATATATATATATATATATATACAGTACTGTGAATATGTTTTAGACCACTTACATTTTCTCAAAAAATCCAAGAGAATTCTTCCTTAATATTTAAGTTTCGAATTCTATATTATAAAATTGTTAAAACACATATATTTCACACAAAATATAGAACAATAACAAACTTTTTAATGTCACACTTCATAAAAAAACCCTTAATATTTACTATATCCTCCTTTTGCCTTAATCACAACCGATATTCGCCGGGAAATAGATTCATACAAATTTGTTATAAAATCCTGCGGTATGTTGTGCCATTCTCTTTGAAGTAGTTGAAAATATTCTTCAGCATTTCGGGGAGCATGTTTGACCTTTTTCCTGTCCAAGTAATCCCAAATATGCTCGATTATATTCAAATCTGGACTCTGGGGAGGCCAGGTCATCATTTCCAGTATTCCTTCTTCTGCCATTTCATTTAAATAATATTTTGCCACTCGGGAACAATGTTTTGGGTCATTGTCCTGCTGCAGAATAAAATTATGGCCCATTAGTCTCATTCCAGTTGGTATAGCATGCTGTCTTAGAATATCCACATAACGTTCCCGTGAGTCGTCCCTCTATTTTGATCAGATCACCTACCCCAGATGAAGATAAACAGCCCCAAACTTGTAAAGACCCTCCTCCGTGTTTTATAGTAGGGTTTAAACACTCGGGCTGATAGGCTTCTCCTATTCTTCTTTGAACATATTGACGTCTTTTCGTTCCAAAAATTTCAAATTTGGACTCATCAGTGTACAGAACCCGATTAAACATTTCCTGGGTCCAATCTTTGTGTTGTTTTGCATACTTAAGTCGTTTTTCTCTATTGCCACGCCGTAATAAAGGTTTTCGAATAGCAACACAGCCTCTTAATCCTGATTTGAGTAGGTGTCGTCGAATACAAGAAGAGCTAACATTTTCCCCAGTTCCTGTATTAATGTCCTTTGCCAATTCGGTGGATGTTTTTTTCCTGTTTCTTAAAAAAAGGGTTTTTAAATATTTATTGTCATCTTTTGTTAGCTTAGGAGGTCTGCCACTTTTCTTTCTATTTCCAAGGGAGCCAGTTTCTCCAAACTTTTTAATGATTTCTCTAATAGTAGTCTTCGAATATCCTGTTTTGGAAGAAATTTGGCGCTGCGAATAACCTTCTTCGTGAAGCACAATAACTTTCTGTCTCTCTATTAAAGATATTTTACCCATAGCAACACTTAATTAATCTAAAAATGTAAACTAATAACTTTATTTAATTATTTTTAACTATTTGTTCAACTGTATTCATAAAAAATAACAACTTTTTAAAAAATGTACCAAAACCGATTATTATTGTATTAAATGAACGAATATGAACCTGAACCAGTAAGAAAAAAATCGAAAATATTATTTTTATGTATTATTTAGATGAACGCTTGGTCTGCAGTTATTATGACAATTATCGTTTTAATAAATAAACAAACATCCCTCGTGTTCCTCATAAATTTTTGTTTATTTATTTAAGATAATATATTCTTTCAACCTTTCTCAAATATTACTCAACTTAAGTGTGCTTAAAAAAAAAAAATACACAGGAAAAAAATTGAAAATACAACTAATTATATAAGTGGTCTAAAACATATTCACAGTACTGTATATCAATAAAAAACTGACCTTATCCAGTTAAATCAACATACTAAAGCAATGAGTTATAATCAAATTTCCTTAGAATTAACATGGTACTGTGCTGCAACAAGCACGATTTATTGTGCTGAGGTAAGCACGTTTTATGTTTTCATTCCTAAAAATAAACAACACGTATTATTGTAACCAAATAGGATTTCTATTTTTTTCTTCAAAGTCAGTTAAGTTTTTTACATCGTTTTAAGTTTTGTCTGAATCGGCATTTTATCTAGTGAGTTTCCTTAGTAAATAAAATAATGCTGGCAGCCGGCTATATTTTATTAATACAGCTTAATTTATTAATACAGCTAACTGCACCATTATTTAGTTGTATCATTAAAATATCTATATATATATAATTATTTTAATAACTATTAATTTAAAGATTGATAGACTATAAATATTTGTAAATCTTCGCTAACAAAAAAAAATCTGTGCTATATGGAACACCCTGAGCAGTTGTACCTACAATAAGAGCAATTTTATAAAAACTCACAAATTATTTATATTTGAAAATGTTACGACTTTTGTTTGTGCAAAAACACTTAACCGTTCTAATTTAACAAAAATTTTATCAATATAAATACAAAAAATTAACAAAATTATTTTTCATAATAATCATTAGCTAACTTAAATAATTTTATCTATATAATGACTCATAATAAGCGATTTAAGTGACGTAGCGATAAATTATTTTTTTCAATATCGACTTTGTTTTGAAGCAAAAGTTACAAACGGTTGCATTTTATTATGTAAAATACACTTGATAATATAATGAAATACACTTGATAATAATTAAAAATAAATGCATTTGAACTCCAACAGTTTGAATCAGAGATTTGTTAAAGAAATTTAACTTGTGGAATAAAGAATAAAGCAAATAAATATCATTTGTGAATCATTTTCAGAATGTAGTAAAGGGTATAAAAATTAAAAAAAAAGCCCTTTCTAGGATAAATAGCAATAGGCCCAAGCGGGATTCCAGCATAGTCTCTGGGGCCAGCATGCCACTGCATATAATTACATCATCCACTAGCCCAGTGTAGTTCCTCTAAATGCAAACACTTTTGTATTCTAAAATTATTTAAAAAATTTTTTTTCAGCTTTGCATTGTTTGATATTGTTTATGTGTCTAATTTTCTAGCATTTTATTTGATTAAAAACAATAACAATAATTTATGTACATCATTAGTAAATGTTTATTTTTTATTGAGAGTTAAAGTTTTTAAAATAAATTATAATTATTAGTTAAGTAGTATGAATTATTTATATATATAAGATTATTCTTTTTGTGATTATTAACAAAGTTAAAAAAATGATATATTTTAGTTCTCCTGTTATTGCTGGTGGTTTGTTTTCAATCCATAAATCATGGTTTGAAGAATTAGGAAAATATGATCCTCAGATGGATGTATGGGGTGGTGAAAATCTAGGTTTCAGTTTATTTAATTAAAATATTATATATGCAATTAATCAAGTTGTTATTATTTTTATTATTATATACGACCCTCAAAATTAGAGGGGGAAAAAATATAGACTTTACATTTTGTTCACCAAATTCTCAAATATATAACTTTTGAAAATTGCACTGAAATAATCAAATATGGTAGGGAGTGACAAGTTATTTGAAACGATTTTTGTAGACCTTTAATGAATGAGTTAAATACTTTTAGAGTTGTTTTTTATGTTGTGTAACTCAAATTTTTTACACTGTTAACAAAAGTTTCAAAATTATTTAATATGCATATTAAGCCTCAGTGTGTGTGTGTGTTTTTTTTTTATTTTTTTTTTATTTTTTATTTATTTTGATAAGCCATTTACTTTAGGCTGAAGTACATTAAACCATTATGAGTAAAATATATAGACTTAATGCTTTCCCAATTCTTATTTGATATTTGTATTTATTAGTCAAATATTATTGTTATAAAGTATAAACTTTGGTGGTCACTTATAGGTATTTGAAACAAAATTTGGCACATGACCTTATCTTAATGTACTGTCTAGTCCGATAAAAAGTTTTCTTTTTAGTTTGAAAGGTGTTTTTGGGTGTTTAAAAAACAATCCTAGCTAACATGTCTCCATCATTTTTAGAAAGTAAGGGAACTTGAATTGATTAGGATTGGGTAAAAAATAAAATCCCTTTTTTGTATAAGTACTTATTTTAGAATGTTTAGCATGTCATAAACATCAAATTCACAAGCTTTTAATTTAATAGCTCTTCCATACAAAGGGGCTAAAAATAGTGATGATGTTAAACACAAGGGAACCAACCTTGGAAAAGTCAGTTTGAGAAAAATGAAAAAACAGTTTGGATTTCAATAATGAATGACAAATGGGTTGGTTTCTACGTCACAGTGTAGCATGCAAAAATAGGCTCATGTCTTTTTTACAAAGTATGTAATAGTATGTTTTGTTCTATCAAAGCATAAACTGTATTTTAGACTAAATGTGAGTTTGATTACCTTATGTTCAACACATATATTTTCATTCAGGTGTTTTTGGGGTAAAAAAATATAAAACTATAGCTTGATTTTATTTAGGTATTAACTTTACATTGTGCTGTAGTCAATGTAAGCATTTTTGTTAGTGAAAAATAAAATCAAAATCAAATTGGCAACACTAGGCTTTACCAAATTCGATTTTGAATGTCTAGTGATCTACAATGCTGGTAAATTTATAAAAACTTGTTTTGCCATCAATATCTCTCTTTGAAAACAAAGAGTTTTTATTTAGTTTGCTAACCAAACCAATCTTTATATCTGATATGCGAGATTGTTCAGCATGAGAACATACACTATTTTACATATAAAGTGAATTTGGGGTAGTGCTTAGTGATATATTAACCAGTCTGACTTGATGATGAAATTTCACCCAAATTCATTAAAAAAAAAAAAAAAAACTTTGTTATCAAGTTACTTTCCAGAAGTCCTTATGCTTTTATTACAGAGCAGCATAGAACAACATTTAACTAGGAAGTTTCTTCTGTACCAATGTTGTAAATTTGGCCAGAGCTGGCATCCAACATTAGACTTGGGATTCTGAAACAAATGGTCAAAGCACTGCACCATGACTGCTTTAAATAATGTAAATTTTACAGCTCTCATTTAAGAACATTAGACTTATGAACATAAGGAAATTTAAGAGCATTAAAATTATTTAATTTAAATATTCATTTAATTTTATTACCTGACCTGGTTTTATATCTGTACTAACTTGTGCACAGGTGTGTTAGAAGCAACCTTTTGCTTTTAACTTGTCTTTTAGGTTAAAACTAAGAAGAAAAAACGGAGTCTAAAAAATATTTACATTTGGGACCAGGATCCATGATGTCAAACTTATTACAGTCAACAAAATAAATAATTGTAAATTTAAAAAATATGTATGTTATATAAAAGAGCTTGTCAAGCAGAACAAAAAAATATGTAAAAACCATATGCTGAAAATGTTTTCTTCAGAATTTTTTAAGAATGTGAAGACCCAGAAATTACAGATTTTCATAATAAAGACTAAAAAATGGTTCTTTAATTCCAGATTTGTTATATATCAATCATGCATTTTGTTAACAGTTGTTGTTGATATGATTTTTTTATTAAAAGAAATTGTTTATTATATACAATGAATGAATGTTTGTTCTATGCAAATTTAAATTGTTTCATTGGCATGTTTTTTCATTACAAATAATGTTTTATGCTATTTTTTCCAAAAAGCAAATGATTTTTTCATTATCAAAATAGAAGCATTTAGTAGTACCTAACCACAACATGACAAGCAATACCCAGAGAGTAATCATTATTGACAGAATGGCGTTGGTAAACAGAGTTCACAAAGGTGCTGAAATAAAAATGTAGAAGGCAAACCCTTTTTATTCTAAAAATAAAGTCATTTTAAAAAACCCATAATACTTATTAAAACATTTAAACATAGAATTATTTAAAAAAATTGTTCAGTCTAATTTTTCTTTAGGACTTGACCAAACATTTTGTTATATCGTTAATGAAAATTGCAAATTGTTACAACGAAATTAGACTTGTATTTGAATGCTATATCAGTCAGTCTTTTAAAACTAGAAGATTGAGCAACAAGATTGAAGCGAACATCTGGAAGCAATATAAAGTACAAGGTTTCCGATAAAGGATTAGCAGTTTGTCATTAAAGCATTTGTTATCTAATATTGAAACTAAGTGCGACATAACTATATACCTATTAGATTATACTTATATATTTTTCAATGAATTAAAAACAAATAGATTCCAGATTTGATATTAAGTTGCTAAGCCATGATCACAAAGAGCCAGACTCTCTTGTGCTCCACGCCATTGATATTGCAAGATATCAATGTTGCTAATATTTTCCTGTGAATATCTACCTCTTGCAACATAATTACGAACTGGAAAAGGACCAGAAGAACGCGACATCAGTATCAAGAATTGTTTTAAGGCACTTGGTTCCAAACAATCAAAAGCTTTAATGGGTTTTCATGTTTTAACAGGATGTGACCAGACCGGCGGCTTCTATGGAAAATCTAAATTAATATGGTGGAAGTCATTCATGGTTATGGATGACAAGATTCTGTATGCATTATTCATGTTAAGCAATACCAATTAATTGCTAAATCAGGTTACTCTTTAAGATATTGAGTATTTTGTAGTCAACACATGAATTAAAAAATATTCATAATAAAATATCAACCTTGGACAACTTAAGGTGGTTTCTCTTTTCAAAATATCATCAAGATGCTATGCAGTTACCACTTACCTTAAGCGCTCAAAAATACAATATATTTAGAACTTATTTTGTATGTCTAGTATTAAAAAGATCTCACAAACCTTTAAAAAATCCTCTTTTTCCTGAAGGCTTTGGCTGGAAGATTAATGGTGAATCCCTTGATCCAATATTAACAGATATTATTCCTGCTCCATTTAGTTTAATTGAATTTAGTGTTTGTTGATTTAGTGGTGATTGCAGTACAAAGAAATACAAGTGTTATAAAAATAACTTTGCCTGTACAAATATGTGTAAATGCACAGGGTGTGTAAACACCAATATTCACAATTGAGGTGATGAGGAACTAGAGATAAACTAGAGATATCTGATACATACGATATAGAAGACTAATATTTATGTTTATAAGCTTATAATTATCAAATTTTATTAGTTTTACTTATCACTAATAGTGTGTTGTGTTTTTTAAATGACCTTTTTATTAAAAATATAGTTTTATCTATACTTAATATGTTGTAAAAATGTTTAAATGTTTTTTGTTTTACTGGACAAATTTTTTCAAACCACTTTTTGCCTGTATAGAGAGGGGGAGGGGGGAATATGCCTTTTCTTTTTTGACAAATGTGTAAAAATGATACCATTGTGGTATCCATGCCAATAAAGTCCCAAGCTTTTTGGGACTAAAAAGATATACTCTTTTTGAAATGACATTTGTCAATATGAAAAGTCAAACATATTAAACAATTTCAAATTCTATTAAAACAATCCTTCATGCATATAATCAATAGATAATTGTTTGAAACATAAATTTACATTAATAAAAATTCACTAAGTAAAATTCATCTGGGTATATATAACAAAATTGGAATGAAAAATCAATTTTTTTTTTTTTTTAATCTTTTTGTGCTGGTCTGTAAACTCTGGGTTTGTTATTTAAATACTCTGTAAGGTGTTATATTTTGGGAAGGAAACGTTTACAGCAAATGGTTTTACATATTTTTTGTTCCGCTTGACAAGCTCTTTTGTATAACTTATTTTTTAAATTTACGATTATTTTTTGATTTTGACTGTAATAAGTTTGACTCATGGGTCCCGGCCCAAGTTGTGAAAACATTTTTGCACTTATTTTTTTCTACTTAGTTTTAAACTAAAGATTAAGTTATAAGCAAAAAGTTGCTTTTAACATGCCTGAGCACAGGAAGTACACAGTGGCCCTCACAACAACTTAAAAGGTACATATATATATATATATATATATATATATATATATATATATATATATATATATATATATATATATATCAGAGGCTATTCTAGACCGTTTTTGACAGCGTTGACTGTATTTGGGCGCCGCCCAAATTAAAATTTAAGGACCTTTTTTTTTACCTTTTTTTTTTTTTTGATGATTTCATGGCAAATATTGTTTTTTTTTTTGCAAAAAAATGCAGATTTTCTGCTAAAGTCTGCCAAAATAAGGGATACCGCCGTCCAACTTTTTTTCCCTATATATATATATATATATATATATATATATATATATATATATATATATATATATATATATATATATATATATATATATATATATATATATATATATGTATATATGTATATATATATATATATATGTGTGTGTATATATATATATATATATATATATATATATATATATATATATATATATATATATATATATATATATATATATATATATATATATATATATATATATATATATATATATATATATATATATATATATGTAAGTTTAATGTTGAAAAGTGAGCCATCCCTGCCTAAGCATCGATGTCTCTATAACTAAGTTTCAATTGTTTTTAAAATATTATTTACTTTGACAGTAACAAACATGATTAAATAATAAGGGTTTAATACATTTGTAAATGTTTTTGACTAAGCATGAAGACTGTAATTTTAACTTAAAAATTTATGCATGCTGTTATGCACACTTTGTTATGCATGTTAATATGTTTAAAAAGGGTTGCTTTGTCAGCAGCATTTTTATGATAAGAAGCTTATCCAATATTTGTATATTTTGAGCTTAATTATATATATGTGTGTGTATATATATATATACATACATACATACATACATACATACATACAGTACCATCAATGTGCCCCTCAACGAAATGATGTCAATTTAAATGAAATAGTCCGCAAACACCATTTCTGGCACACTTATGTCACACTGCCGCTTTTAAAAATAAGACATAAACAAAAACTTTTAAGCTGAAGGCGCTGGTCACAACAATCCAGTAAAAGTATCTTTTAAAAAATAAATTTAGTATCAAGAGAAATCCGTATTTATTGATGTTTATAAAATAATAATTTACATGCTCTCATTGTGTCTTCACTCAAAAAAAAAAAAAAAAAGAATATATATATATATATATATATATATCTAATATAACGTATATATAGCACAGCAAATGCTTACTAATTTTGCTTATCTTTATAGTATACAGCTTTTTTAAAAAAAGAAGAACTCTTTTGCAACAGCAGGCTTTAAGGTAGTCAATGTATGTACTGATAAAATATTATAATATATAATAGTTATAATATTATATATATATATATATATATATATATATATATATATATATATATATATATATATATATATATTTTTTTTTTTTTTTTTTTGTGACACCTTGTTCCTGAGTCAATGAATATTTGTACAAACGCAATAAAAATATATATCAATTTGATTTCCATGTTAAAAAAGGTCACCCCAAAACCTAAAATTTGAATTTACAATATATACGAATGGATCAAATTTCAAACAATTTTATAATCATTATTTTTTCATTTTATTTTTTTAATTGGATAGTTAATATGTAATAGAGTTATTATGTTTTAAGCATTTAACAATATATTATTACACCTCGACACTCTATGTTACAAATAAATGTAAAATTACAAACTTAAATAATTCTACAAGTAAAGAAAGCTACTGTATATATCAAAAAATGTTGTGTAGTATTCAGCTTAATTAAAAGGTAATATATATACAATTCTTTTGTTTTGTTAAACAATATAAATCTAAGCTGGATGTTCTCTTTTTTTATTTTACAGATGTAAAAAAAATCTTAAAGACACTTGATTGCTTGTTCTGCACACTGATTTGTTCTGGGATTTTCCTGTTTCAATGGTTCCTGATTTTTTTACTTTTTCACTGAGTTTTTTGGTGCAAGCTGCTATATAGCTTCCAATCATCATCTTCATTGTACATTTGATCAGTAAACTAATGATCTGCCCATCTGTAAGAGATAAATCTACAAGTGTTGAGTAGTGAGTCTCTTCCCTCTGGTAGAAGAATAAATGGAATATTTATTAAAAAAAATAAATTCACTTTAGGAAATATTCCAGATTCTTTTGTTTCAGTAATCTTTTCTTAACCATTCTTGACGTTCTTCCTGAGTTGTTTGTAGCTCATTCTAGTTCTATGATAATTGTATATTTGATATATTGGGTAACATATTGTTTTCTCCAAGTTCTTCATCCATTACTAGGCAAAAGACTTGTCAAGAACATGTTGACAACCAATGATTTGTGGCTGTTCTACTATCTTTTTAGTAAAATGTTTTCGTAGCTGACTGACAATCCCATTCCTTCATTTAGTGTTTACATTTGTAGAGTACACTACAATCATCTTTATACTCATCTATAAATTTAATTTATTGAGAATAGCTGTTATACCTTGAACAACAGTATCTGCTTTTTCGTCAGGTAGATCTTGTAAATAAACTTCTCTTTGTTTATTTTTCAACATTAACACTTGATATTCCAATACGTTTACCATCAAAATGCAGTGACCATGCAGTGACCATGTAGTGTTTCTAAATGTAGTGTTTTCTTCATTTCTTCTTTAAGCTAACAGTTTCTTAAATATTTTTTGATCTAGATATACCTGACTGTGAAGATGTCTGAATGTCAATCCCATCTTGAGATAACTGTCAGAAAATGATTGCTGCTTTGCTGGTTGATAACTTTTAAGATGTTACTAATTTAGAAATTTAGAATGCTACTGCCTGCAAATACTACTTAGATACCATTTAGAAAATTCTGTGTTAGGGGTGACCTTTTTTGAAAATTAATCAGAATAAAACACATTTTCATTACTTTTGATCAAAAGTTTATTGATTTATGACAGGAAACTAATTATTTTACAAAAAGTTATAAAGTCATGAGTCTAATATACATTTACATATATGTATAAAAGCGTGTTTAGATAACATGTCTAATTTCACACTGAAATAGCCTACTGCCCAGGCTTCAGTACATATATCAACTATATTATAGCCTGCTGTCACAAAGGAATGTTGCTACATCGACTGAGGGTTTAGAATGGGGCAGCAATCTTTTCTTTCATTATTTTTATTTTTTTTTATTTTTTCTGAAAAAGTTGTATACTGTAAGGATAAGTAAAACAAGTAAGCAATTGTTGATCTATATAGTAGATATATATAGTAGATATGTATATATATATATATATATATATATATATATATATATTATATATATATATATATATATATATAGAGAGAGAGAGAGAGAGAGATCAATCTCTGTTTGAAATTTAATGCCTGTGCACGAAATAGCGCTGACCAAACAGTCATTTTTAGATTGGTGTGTGCAAAAAATTCATCTTTTTCTGCTATTTAAATTAAAATAAAAACAGCAAAAATAATACTTTGAATAAATGCTAGATGAAATATTAAAAATAAAAAATACTTTTATGCTTTTTTATGCCCCTGTCCAAGTTTTTGCAGGCGTGTGGACATAAATTAGTACATAAATTGCACTAGAACTCCGCTTAGCGCTTGACAAGTTGATAGTTGGTTAGCTAACTTTACTTTCAGAAGTTTTTTTTTTTTTTTCTTTTTTAAGTATTTAAAAACTTCTACCAAATAATGTTGTTTTTATGTCATCTTACCCATCTAGGGTTTTTAAATAGAATATTTTCATTTCATTTTTATTTTGCTCTCTGAATAAATTTCTTCAATGCATCATAATCGTTAATAAATTTAGTGACTAATGAAGAATTGGTCTGGTGATGTTGTTTGACACTCAGAATGAAATAGTTGATTCAATATATTTTTCAATATATTTTTTTAATTATATTTGTACAAAAACAATTTTTTTTTTAGATTCTATTAGAACCTAAAAAAGTTCTTTGTCTTCATTACAAAGTCAGAACCCATTGACACATGATATCAAACAACTGAATAAAGTTTACTTCATCATAATGTCTTTTTAAATTCTTATCCTTTTTTAAAATCAGTTTTCTTACTTTATATGTTGTTGATTTAGTTAGCATTGGAAAACTTATTTCATAATTCAGCAAGTTTAGCTGATATTAATTTTGCTCTCTCAGTTCTACTTTTTGTTTCATTGTGTTTTGAACTTATTTATATCTATTTGCTCTCTTTTTTGTAAACTCATTAGATTTTGTTGAACCTTGTTTTCCCTACTTTTAACAGCATTCTGAAAACGTTTGCCCTAAAAGATTTTGTTATATGATTTTTTGCTTGATGACTGGGAAGTTTAAAAAATCGAATTATGAATACTTAGAAATTTATTTAATGAAGGTTTAATATAAAATATGATAAAACATCATCTTAGTGAAAAGCGTTGACTTATTTGCAACAAAATGATATAAAAATAAATTGAAATTTTAATATTTTTTAATGATATTTAATATTTTTTAATATTATTTATACATCAAACTTTTGAGAGTATGTTTGCCATTTCTAACTTTTTAAAAGTTTTTATGTCAAAACTTATAAATTAAAGTACTAAAAAGTTTTTTATTGCTTACAATAAAAATTTTTATTTCTAAAAATTGAGATGCGATAGTTGGAGGTTTTATTACTTTATGTCAACACATAAAAATAAATATATTGTCATTATGTTGCTTCATACATTTTTAAAAATTCACATATCTAATATCTATTTGTATATGTGTATAAATATATATAATATCTATATATATATATATATATATATATATATATATATATATATATATATATATATATATATATATATATATATATATATATATATGTATATGTATAAATGTATATAATATATAATATCCATATGTATATGTGTATAAATGTATATAATATCTATATGTATATGTGTGTGAGTATATATATATACATATATAATATATTTATATATGCATATATTAATATTATAATTGTTATTACATTTGTTATATACAATATAATATTTAGATTTTTATATTAAATGTTAGAAATTTCTTTCCGTACTTGGCAATGTGGTGGAGAAATGTATATAATACCGTGTTCGCGTGTTGGACATGTCTTTCGAGATAGACACCCTTATAAGTTCCCGGGAGGAAGCATGAATGTTTTCCAAAAGTTAGTTTATTTTTGTTAATATTTATAAAAATAAATTGTTCTTAAAATTGTTTGAGTTTAGTCTTCACAAAAATGTTTTCGATATTTCTGTAGAAATACACGACGAGCAGCAGAGGTATGGATGGATGACTACAAGAAATACTACTTTGCTGCAGTTCCTTCTGCTAGATACTCACTGTTTGGAGAGTAAGTTAAGAAGTTAATAGTTTTATTTAAATCATATTTTTATATTTAATTATGAAAATCCCTTATGCATCTTCAGTATTCGCGACCGTCTACAGTTACGAAAAGATTTGAATTGCAAGTCTTTCAAGTGGTATCTAGAAAATATCTATCCTGAGCTCAAGTAAGAAAAATAAAATTTATTTGAAAAACCATGCATTTTTTATTTTAATGTATGATAAAATGTATTTGAAAAGCATTTTAACATGAATTTAACAATTATTTTTTTTTGTTAAACGAATTACAGTTATTTATAAACTTCAATGCAAATTTTTCATATAATATTTTAAAAACTTGTTTCATTTAACAAACTTTCAAAATTTACAGTCAAAATCAAGTCATTGAATAATTAAATATTGTAAATCAATCATTCAAAAAATTTATTGTTTACAGTGACATACTTACAACACAATCTAGCAGTTTTAATCCAACTTATGACTGTGATATTGTATTTTAGAGTGCCTGATGATGATGTAATTAAATATGGTCAAATAAAATATAAAGTTTCTGAAGATTGCTTAGACACAATGGGTCATATCAAAGGTGAAGGGATAGGCCTTTTTCCCTGTCACGGCCAGGGGGGTAATCAGGTAAATTTTTTAAATTGACTTTTTAGAATACCGGATGATGACGTGACATCCTATGGACAAATAAAATATAAAGGTAGAGAAGACTGCATTAATGCAGTGGGTGAAAAATCCAATGTTGTTTTAAGAGTCCTTCCGTGTCGTGGAAGTGGTGGAAAAGATGGAGATAAACAGGTAGAATAACACAACCAGGCTAACAACTAGGACATGACAAGTGTTTTTTGTTTGTTAATAAAGGCAAAAGTATATTTACTATTATTAAAAGTAATAGCTTACAATGATTACGTATTAACTATGTTATTTTTATTACTTATTAGTAGTGTTGATATTATTTTTAAATAATTATCTGTGTTTATTTGTAGGATTGGTCTTGGACTAAGTCAAATCAGATAAAACATGAATCGCTTTGTCTTTCTGGAATCAGTAAGAAAAGTGAAGAAATTGTTCGAATGGTTCCTTGTGTTGCTACAGATAACTTTCAAGTAAAATTGTTTTGATTCTTTAATAGTTATTATAGTCATTAGATATTAATTCATTCTTACAGTCTTTTAATTGTTGGAATTAGGTGAAGCCATTGATATATTATTGTGAAATATTTTACAACGTTCTTTGAGTAATTATATATTAAGTTCACTTTATTTATAGAAATGGAAATACGATGAAAAAGCAGCAGCTCTTATCAATCTTGGCTCTAATCTTTGCCTCGATAACTACAATGTTGGAAAAGAACTTATGCAAACAGAATGCAAAGGTCATGATACGCAATCTTGGAAGTTAGCATTTACAAGCACAGGATAAATCTGTTTAATTGAAATTACTAACTAAAATAAGGTCTTTTGAAATCAATAATTAAAATTAGGCTTTTCGAAATCAATAACTCAAATAAGGCATCTTTGAAATGTTTTTTGAGCCTTCATCTACACATCCCAATTAACTTCCCAATTAATCCAAGCAAAAACTAGTTAATTAGATTATTTACACTATTGTCACTTTTATTTCTTTTCTTTTTTAAATTATTTAAAAATCATTTGTATTTTATAACGATAAAAGCCACTAATTAAATAGGTAGTCAATCTAAAAAAAATAAGTAGTCAATCTAAAAGTTTTTTTTAGTGGATTCTATCCAATCTCTTGTTATTTTATATAACTTAATTTACTTTTTTTCACTTTTATCTTGCATAAACGTCTTATCCAACAGAAAAGTCCCCCCAAAAAGTTTTTTAGAAGTATTGGTTAAGCTTTTGTTGGTTTATAAGTTTTTGAACACTAAAATGTAACAAATATGTAAAGTTACATTTCTTTACATATCTAAATATTGAGGCGAGATTATCGTGTTAGATCTCTAATTTTGACGTTATGGTTTTTAAAATAAAATTTTTATTAATTTTATTTGAAGTATATAGATAGGTGAGATAACAGTATTTTTTGCTGATTTTTCAAATGGAATACTATTGGGATATTTTTTAAAGCTGCTGTTAATTTATGACGAATTTAAGTTATCATTTTGTAAATTTTTGATATTGTCATCTTTGAAAACCAAGTTGAAACTAATGTTATATTAATGTATATATAACTGCCTAATAAATTTTTAGGAAGATAATCAAGTAAAAAATAACTTTTTGGGAAGATAATCAAGTAAAAATAATTTTTTTCATTTTTATAATTAAATTAAACCTAAAATTTTATGTGTGCAAAATTTTAATGGTGTTGTAACTTCTGATTACAACGTTAAGGGGCTACCCCCCTCTGTTTTTAAATCTAAGTATTTTAAAAAAAAATGTTATGGGTTTCTAGGTTTTAGTAAAATATAAACCTTTTAAAAAAAAAAAATGGTGGTTTACTTGGTAACCAAAAAATACCCCTAAAATGACCAAAAAGTAACTTCACGCTGGCCAAAATATAAGAATATGTGTACATATTTACCTTTTAAAATTTTAATACAATATTATCATAAAGTAGGGCTGTGAAATGAATGGATCAGATTTTTCATAACATTTTGCCATCATCAAAATGGCGCAATTAAAGATCATGGTCAAAATTTTCATTGATTTTAGGTCATATATATATGTTTTTTAACAAAATAAATAAATTCCAATCCATTCATTTCACAGAGTATAATATGATAAACACTTCCTGAAAATTTCATACAAAAATGTAATACGGTTCTCCAGATAATTTGGCCGGTATGCACAAATTTCTATTTTGAGAAAAAGACAATTTAAGTTTAAATTTTTGAAAACAATACCATTTTTTTCATAAAAACTGTTGAAACATAAACAAAGTTTTCAAAATCCACCAGGAACATACAAGTCACCTTCTTTTTCAATTATTTTCTCATTCTTCTTCAAAACTGTTGAAACATAAACAAAGTTTTCAAAATCCACCAGGAACATACAAGTCACCTTCTTTTTCAATTATTTTCTCATTCTTCTTCAGTTTCTTGACACGTAATACTTGCCTTCTTAACTTTTTAACAGAGTTCATTCTAATTTCTGCTTTTTGTAATCTTTCATTATTTAATGATTTGCATCCTGCAATCATATGAAAGCCTGGTTCCATGTCCAGTTGCTTCAAAATATTAATAGATGCTTTTGCTCCAATATTAAAATTGGCAACAGCATCATATGCACCAATTGTTAATTGGGTAAGTGATTCAAATGTTTGTTTTGGTATACGCTTCCAAATCATTCCATAAAAAGACTCATTGGCATTTTGTGTCTTACCGTGCAAACATTTTTGTAACTCAATGTCTTTCCTTAAATCCTTAAATATAGTTCTTACTTTCATTATGACATCCATTGGTAAACCCGGTTCCGGCTTATAGGTTGATGTCTTATTTATTTTATTGGCATTGTATTTGCACCAGCTGTCTGCACCAGTGAGGTAGTGTGGGAAATGTAAGCTATTATTTTTTGAGGAAGCAACATGAAATAGTGATGCCAACACCAGTTGGGTCAGATTTTTGGAGGCTTTGAGTTAAATTACAACCTTTACAATATCTGGACATGATTTCAACATTTAAAATTTTGCCACTAGCAGTAGAGATGGCAGAAAAGACTCCATTGAGTGATGAGTATCCTCATTTTTGCCATGTTCCATCGCAAGATAAACAATATCGGTTACTTTCAAAGCTGTATTTTGCAATTTATTAGCAGCATTTAACATTGTTCGTTCTGCTACATTTTTAACAGCTTTTGAAATTACTTTTATCAGTTTTTCAAAATTGTTTTTGGTCATTGACTTAGGTAGATTCATAATGGTACAAAATTTTTTGATGCCTGCATATCCATGACCAAATAATTGCATACAATAAATTACTTGTTTATTGATATCAAATCCTTTTATATTTGTCATAGTTAAAAGTCTAGAACTTTTGAAAATAGTTACAAGCTCTTTTCATACACTTAAGATATAGTAAGGATGATAAACCACGTCGTTGAGTATATCTCTCACTTAGTGAGATTGTTGAACAACCACACTCTGGACACAAAACAGAACTTAAAATAGACATTAAAACAGCAACATAAATTATAAGATAACCAGATATGGCAGGTTTTGAAAGAATTTTATCTTTTAAATTTTCGATTTTATGAGCTGAAGCTGATAAATTAGGTGGATTTTCAAAAATTGGTTCAGTAACACAAGTGATGTTAGGGGCACTTGGATTTATTGTCGGCAATTCGATATTAGTACTATCAGATACAATAACAGTATTAACAGAATTTTGAACATTTTCCATAAACCTTTTCCATTTTTTATGAGTTTGTGTACATTTCTTAACTCGACAAGCTTTTCCCATTTTTACTAATTAAACTAACCTAATAAAATCTCAAGAACTGACTGAACTGAAGAATATTGTCGTACTTGATGTACCAAGGTATTGGTAAATTCCAGAAAAACGCATCAAGAAGTTGTTCAAGCTTATGCATTGCAAGTGTAACACTATTTTGAATGAAATTAAGGTAAAAGTATGGTGTATAAAATTGTTTAAGTGCGTTGCTATGGCGTTGCTAAGGAAATTACTTAAGAGGTGGTTAACTTAAATAGACAATTTAAGATAGTTAAAGATTAATCTGATACATTCAAAACAAATTTTATGATTCTGCATAGTTTGAAAGAGTTAAAATTAAAAAAAAAAAAAAAATTGAAAATTTTGAAATTTTATGGGGGGATAGCCCCTTAAAACTTGTGATTACAATTTATTTAGCCAACGACTACTTTACCAAAAAATATTAAAATATCAAAAATGTCTAATTTAAAGTGTAGTTGAGTAATTTAGAGTATAATTGTGTAATTTAGAGTGGAATTGCGTAATTTAGAGTGGAAATACGTATCATATAAAACTGAACTCAAGAACGTTTTGAATATATATATTTATTCTTTTAAACACCCAATAATTACATAAACTATAGGTAAAAGTATTAAAAAAAAAAAAACAAAGCACATTTAAGTATTTTCTTGCATCGTTCTTGGAATGTTTTCCTCCATCAGCGTTCTAAATACTTCTCTTTGTTCCTTTAAATTCCAGTGTTGGAACGATTGTTTTAAGATCGCCGCAACATTGGCCTCCAATGCTTCCTGAGGGCGTGCAATTATAATTTTCTTACCCTCGATCATAAATTGGAGCATGTTTATATCAGCTTTCTTACACATTATCATTACCTCACCCACAAATGATCGTTGATTCATTAAAGGCATCTGAGTCCGTATAATCGAGTAACATATGGGGTTGTTTAAAAGCCTGATAAATAGATTTAACTTGTTGCGAAAAAGAATGTCTGACACAGCGTCTACTTTGAAATAAGAATGTAGATAATTTCTACTTTGCTTTGAAATATTAAAGAAGGATTTTAAGACAGATCGTCCAGCTATATCAATGCTATTTAGAAACTTATTGCTGCTTCCACACAGTTCTAATCCGTATAACAACGTTGGAACAGCTAAAGAATTAAATAAATGAACTATGGTAGCAGGCTGGCAAAAGCGAAGTCCATTTCTTATAAGACCTTTTGCAACAGATAAAAATTGCGTTACACGTTCAGTTATATTTTGTTTTTGGAGTGTTGCTGTCATTTTTTTGTTCTTATTATCCCAAAGGAAACCAAGATGTTTTAGATTGTTTTGAGGCTTGATAGGATCACCGTTAATATAAATAACGTTAATTAAAATCGAACTTATTCCAGATATTAGAAATTCAGTTTTTTCTGTATTCAGTTTAATAAAGTTCGATAGTCCATACTTTTGAACAATGTTAATAAGGCTCTGAAGACCAGATATAGTGGAACTTTGTAAAACTATATCATCAGCATATGCAATGATACCTGTGTATACACCATTTATTGAAGTTCCAACTTTTGATTCTGAAACAATTTTCTCTAGAAGGTTCTCTGTGTAGATATTGTAGAGATGAGGCGACAGTATGGATCCTTGACGCACTCCCTGAGACAGCCTAAATTTGTTTGATGTACATCCAAGATATGATATATTAGAAGTTCCTGTTTGATATAGTGATAATATTGTATGAACTATAGATAATGGGATTTTTTTCTGGTAATAGAGTTTCTCGAATAGTAATTCCCAATTACAACTGTCAAAAGCTTTGTTGGCGTCTAGACTGCATATATATAGCGGTGAGTTATTATGATTATAGTGCTTTATTGTTTCACTCAGAAGAAATTCTGCGTGGAGGGTAGAGCTGTTTTCTTTAAAACCGAATTGATGGGAATGACTTTCTGTTATATCTGGACATATGTGTATGATAAGATATTCGAGAAGTTTTGTAAAAATTGGTATAATGCTGATTCCTCGATAGTTATTTGGATTTTCTAGTGATGTTTTATAAGACTTGACTAATGGGATAATTTTGGCGGTTGATAAACCGTGTGGAACCTTTCCATTTGTTAACATATTGTTATAAAACGACGAAAGTAAAATAAGAAGATTCTTGTTGTGAGAGTTTTTAAGATGTTCAGCACTGATTTCATAGCAATCGTAAGATTTATTATTTTTAAGCTTTAAAATACATTTTTCAATATCAGCTGTCGAGATAACTTTTGAATTAGGCTCTTTACTTAAATGTGGAATTTGGAGAGGATTGAACTCGTTATTTGTATATTGCGGTGTATTAAGTAGTTTTTGGAAATGATGACTAAATTCTTCGACGATTTCGTTTTTGTTCTGCAATTTATTAATTGTAAAGAGTCGATTGTTAGTATTTTTTTTGATTTTTCGAATATTACCCCAAAACCTTTGAGGATTTGTATTGCGTAAGTGTTCTATATTTTTAGTTTTTTCGTGAATTTTTTTGTTATGTGCCGCTTTTACAGCTTTACGAAAGTTTTTTCGGGAATAAATAAATCTTTTGTAGGATATACATTCTGTTGACTTATTATAGCCTGATTTTTGCCATTGTCTAAAGTGAAAGGAGAGATTATCTTTAATTTTTTTAAGCTCAGGTGTCCACCAAGGTTTCGAGTACTTATAAAATTCTTTTTGTCCGAAACATTGTTTAACTGCCAAGAGAGCTGCATTTTTTATATATAAGCAT